GGGGGGGCCGGGCCACCGTCCTCAACTCGCGTGGGCGGGCTCCAAGGGGGGTCTCTTAAGCCCTCGGGGGAGGGGGCGGGCACCCGGCTCCGCCCCACCAACAGGGTGCTGCCTCCTGGCGGCCGAGCGCTACCCATGCGGGTGACTGTGATGCGTGTAAGCTTCGCGAGCTGTGCGGGGGTCACCGAGAGAATGAAGACCTGGTGGAGCGGGTTCAATCAGAGGATGGGGACACAGGGTACAAGAAGTCCGAGGAGGTCCACCCGGGGTGGAGAGTGAGAAGGTGGAGCAAAGGGGGAGAGGGTCAGCCAGAAGATGGGGAGCCAGTGGGGCGGGAGCCCCAAGGAGTGGGGGCCATAGGAGCATCACCCAGAGTGGGGAAGGGGTCAGAGGTTGAGGCAGAGGATGGGGTAGGGGGCTTGAGGAAGGAGGGTGATGGTGGGAAGATTGGGGCACAGGACATCTGACAGATGAAGAAAGGCAGAAAAGCACCCACTCCTGAAAGAACTGCTCTCCTTTATTGAGCCCTTCCACGAGCAAACAGCTTCTTTGCACTCAACCCACTGTGAGCCCACACAATGACCCCATTTTACAGATGGGAAAACTGGGAGGGGCAGCCAGTGGGCTTGAGGTGATAGACAGGACAGAAGCCACACTATGCCTTGGCTGGAGTCAGGTCTGACAGTCTCCAAAGTCCATGCTTCTGACCACTGAGCCATCCTGCCCATCACTGGGTGTCCTGAGATATGGGTGGGGCCAGCCGTTGATGCAGGGTCCTTCAGCATTCAACACCATAGCGGTCGAAGTGGCGGAGCAGCAGGCCCAGCTCAAGGTGCACGGTGCCGCCGGCGGCGGTGTGCAGGCGATAGCGGTCAGCCCCACTATAGATGGCATCCCCATGCAGCAGCTGAGGCCCGCCACCCACGAAGGCCCTCGCCAGCTGCTCCCGCCAACTGCCCAGGGGTCGCCATGTGGGGCAGTCCAGCTGGTGGGTGCCTGGACTGCTGGGCACATGGCAAAAACCATAGCCTTCAAGCTGGCAGCGGCCAAAACTGTCTTGGGACCACACCTGGAGATGGAGCCGGGGCCAGCCTGCAGGATAGGAAAGAGGGAGGAAAAGAGGGATGGGTGCAGACCAGCCTCTTGCTCCTGGAGACCCCAGGCCCAGGCCTTCCCCTCCAGGTTTCTGCCCCAGCCCCCTCTCTGGACTCCCACCCACATATAGTGGCCAAAGGGATTTTTCTGAATCCATGTTCGTCCCTTGCTCAAAACCCTTCCATGATTTCCTATTGCACTCAGTATAAAGTTCCACCTCAACAATTAAGGCCCTTTAGGTCTGGCCTCTGTTAACTTCCCTCTACACGGCCTCCTCTTCCGTGTCCCCATCTCAAAGAAGCCCTGTCCCCAGGTAAATGCTTTGGGCCTTGTCCTGGATGCCTCCCTCCTTCCCTCCCCATGGGCACACCCTGTCCTCTTCTCTGGCCTCGGGGCCTTCTTTCTTGCTTCCTCCAACCCATCCTTCATCTGGCAGCTGGAAGCATCCTTTGCCCCCTTCTATAGGTCTCCCAATGTCCTCACTCTGAATACAGTTCAGCTCCTCAGCCTGGTAGGCAAAGCCCTTGCAGATCCAGCCCCATTTCACCCGCCTTTCTGAGTCCCTCTGTGCTCCACCCTGTTTAAGAAGCTGGGGACACAGCAGCAAACAGAGCAGACAAAAATTCCTGCCCTTGTGCAGCTGACATCTTAGACAACGAACACAGTAAATAAGCAAATTATAGGGTATGTTAGATGGTGATAACTGCTCTGGAGAATAATAAGCTGGGTAGGGTGGGGGTAGGGATGGAGTTTTAGAAAAACGGTGATCAAAAAAAGGTTCACAGAGGTGACATTTGAGTGAATGAGTAAAGGAGGGACAGGAGTATGGCCGCATGGCTATCTAGGGAAGAGCACTCCCAGCAGAGGAAAGAGCCAGTGCAAAGGCCCTGAGGTGGGAGCTGCCTGGTGGGGCCAACGTGGCTGGAGCAGTGAGAGGAGATGGGGAGGGGGTGGTGGTGACAGAACCAGATCGAGCAGGGTCTCGTGACCCACTGTAAGGCTTTACTTTTCACCCTGAGTGAGATGAGGACCACAGAGGGTCCTGAGCAGAGGAGGAATGTGACCTGACTTAGGTGCTCACAAGGGCACAGACTATGGGGGTGGGGTGGGAACACCAGTAAAGACGCTACTGTAATAGGCTGGTGAGAGGTGAGGATGGACAGATCAGTGTGCTGGGGAGAGAGGAGAAGAAGGGGTAGGATTTAGGAAGCATTTCAAAGGTGAAGCTAATAGGACTTCCTGATGGACAGAACTGGAGGGGAGGGCGCTGAGAAAAGAGGAGGCAAGGATGATGCCCATATTGGGAGATTTGGGGTCCTTAAGAGCTGAAAGGTCTGTTGACTGCCTCACCTTCCAATCCATTACCCACAAGGCAGCCAGAAGGATCTTTTATTTATTGAATTGATTTGATTTGATTTGGGGGGCGTAGGTAGTTAGGTTTTCTTATTTATTTATTTTTAGAGGAGGTACTGGGCATTGAACCCAGGACCTTGTGTATATTAAGCATGCGCTCTTCCACTTGAGCTGTACCCTCCCCCCATAGAAGGATCTTCCAAAGGCAAAATCTGACTTTGCAGTCACCTGTGCTGGCTCCCCAGTGCCTTCAGGAGATGGCCTCATCTCTGCAGCCTAGCATTCAAGGCCCTGCATGGCCTAACACCATTCCCTGCCACCTGACTCCTTGCAGTCCTCCTGCTCTCCCTCGGGCCTCCAGATGCTCCTGGCTCACTTTCCCCCTTGAGTCTTCCACATGTGGCTCTCTGCCCAGAACTCTCTTCCATCCTTCTGTTTTAATAGCTCCTACTGGCCCTTCACAGTAAAGCGCAAACATTCCCCTCCTCCACGAAGCCCTCCCTGAACTCCCCGGGAGAGTCAGGCGCCTCCTCCGGACTCCCACAGCCCTTCAGGATCCCCCATCTTGGTCCTGCCTACTCTAGGTTCCTACTGTCTGAGGGCAGCTCTGCCTCCCCCAAAGGATGATGAACCATGTGGGGACAGGGCTGGGTGGGACAGGGGCTGTCTCAATCAGACATCTCCCTGGCATCACCTGACACAAGACAGACACTCAGTAAATATTATTTACATTGTAGAAATATATGGCATATTTACCTAGGCTATTTCCTGGAATCCATCCCACTCTAATGACCCAAATTTTCCGCTAGAGAAGGTTTTCTGATACCTGGCCTCCCCCACATATTCATTTCCCCTCTGAGCATCTGAAGAGCCCTGCCAGCAGAACGGCCACCTACCCTCACCTCTCTCTCTCTCACACACACACATATACACATAAACCCCTCCCAGCTTCCTCCCGATTGAAGACTGTTGGTTTGTCTCTGTGAAAGCCACCACCCTCTCCCCCTGGCCCTCCCCTTGACCTTGCTCCCTCCACCCCTGGCCTCTGCCCTATTTGGAACACACTCTAGAGTCAGCCTGGGGATGCCTCAGCTCAGCCTCTCCAGGGCCAAGCCTGCCCAAAAAGGGACCCAAAGGGCATGGGGAACAGGGACAGCACTGGGTGTTCTCAGTCCTGGCAGCATCGGTGCCACTAACCTACCTCTCCTTAGTCTAGCCTGGGGCCCAGGCAGGGAACCTACCTTGAAGGCCTTTGGTGGCGAAGTGCAGGTCGATGGGGTGGGACCAGTAGGCCATGTCCCCTATCTGGGGGGTGTCCACCTGCGTTTGGCCCTCCCGCACACCTGACAGGAGCTTCCATGCTGCCCCTGCAGTGAGAGTCAGGACACGGATGAGGCAGGGCAGGGTGGGAGGCAGTCATTGGAAGGGGATCCCACTGTGGCTGGAGTACCCCATTTCTCCCTGGCATGGCGAGGGGCAAGGGTTGCAAAGTGTGAACTCTGGAGCCAAATGTCTGGGTTCAAATCCTAGCGCTATTCCTCCTGCCTGTGCAACCTTGAGCGAGTTAGCTTTCTCTGCCTCAGTCTGCCCATCTGTAAGGTGGGTGTCACAATAATGCATTCCTCACAGTGTTGTGAGAAGATTAAATGAGTAAATAGACACGACGCACTCAGAACAGGGACTGGGTCATAGTGAGTTCTGGACATGTGTTGGGTATCATTTTATTACCATTCTCAGCCCACCCTTAGAGGCCTAGCCCAACGATTAAGATGGGCCCAAGGGTGTCCTTCACGAGAAACACAGAGCACATCGAGAAAGGTGCGTCATAGCAGCAATCCTGAGGGTCAGAGTAAGAGCAAAAAATGCACTCAGTGCTTACTAAATGCCAGACGCTGTGCTAAGCGCTTTAGTAATGAATTCATTTAATCCACCCTCTGGGACTCTTAATCCCCACCCTACCCCCGCTGACAGATTCTCCTCCGGAGCCCACAAGGCCCTGCAAGGCCTGGCCTGTGCCCCTCTTCCTGAACTCATTTCCCATCACTCTCCCCATTCCTCACCGCCCGCTAGGCTCACCGGTCCTATTTTTGTTCCCCTCCTCAGGGCCTTTGCACTGGTTGTTCCCGCTGCCTAGAAAACTCTGCTCCTAGATGTCCCCCTGCCTGGCTTTTTTTTTTTGTATTTCATCCTTCAAGGATCAGCTCAGGTGCCACTTTCACAGAAGGGCTCTCCCTCACCCTCCTATCCAAACACCAGTCCCTCTCCCATCATTTCATCTCATTTCTTCCTAGTACCTACCGCTGTCTGTAATCATTGTACTCATGTCTTTATCTGCTTATTTATTTTCTGTCTCCCCTACTGTGAACCCCAGAAGAGCAAGGATCTTGTAAACTACTAGATCCCTGGGGCCTCAAACCCAGATCATGGTACACAGAAGGTGCTCAATAAATGTTCCTTGGGCAAATAAGTGATCCTAGGAGGTGGGGGCTAATATAATTTTACAGGTAAAGATGCAAACTCTGAGAAGGAAAGGCATTTGGCCATTCATTCCACAAATGTTTACTGAACACCCACTCTGTGCCCCACCATGTTCTCCACCCTGGGGCTACAGCAGGACCGCAGCAGACCAAGGTCCCATGGTGGAGCTGATTCAGATGGAGCTCTGAGTGATGGCAGAGACCAAAGGACAAACAGTCCCACTTTACAGATGAGGAAACTGAGGCTCCAAGAGGGGAGAGCACTTGCCCAGGGTCACAGAGCTGGTGAATAGTAGGGTACTGAAAATTGAGTTTCTGAGTCCAGAGCCTGATTCTTATCTACTCAGCTGGAGGATCCCAGTTTCCCAGGGAATCTCAACCACCACCCTCCCTACCAGTGAAATCACAAAGGACGCAAGGCCTGAAAAGATGATGATGGCAAAGGCCACGTGCATTTCATGGGCATTTATCTGTGCATAAATACTGAGGGCTTTACAAACAAGACTCCATCCAATTTTTTCTTCCTTTTTTTTGAGGGGGGGGGATCCAATTTTTACACAAGCCAGGCAAATACTTACTGGGCACTTAGAAGTCTAGGCCTTTTTCTAACTGCTGTTGATATTTATTTAGTCCTCATAACAATTTGGTGAGGTAAATAGTGTTATTTTTCCCATTGTACAGACAGGGAAATCGAGGCAAAGACAAGTGTCCAAGGTCACATAATTAATATGCAAGAGTGGGTGTTGAACCCAGGCAGTCTGTGCTCTTAACCTCAGCACTCTGCCTCCTCTTAGTTGCTATTTTTAAAAAAAATTTTTAAATTGAAGTACAGTCAGTTACAATGTATCAATTACTGGTGTACAGCACAATGTCCCAATCATACGCATGCATGCATATATGCATATACATACATATATTCATTTTCATATTCTTTTTCATTAAAGGTTATTACAAGAATTTGAACATAGTTCCCTGTGCTATGCAGGAGAAACAGTTTTAGCTGCTATTTCCTTCATTTTCAGACAAGGAAACTGAGGCTCAGAGAGATCAAGTTCAAAGGCTCCCAATTAACAGGCAAGGGAGTTCATATTTGAGCCTGGACCTGATGGACTATGGCCTTAACCATCACACCATCCCACCACACTGTACTGCCTCTGATGGGGAGACATGAAAATTGGGGCCTTCAAGGTGCCTATTGGGCCTGTGTGGATGGATTTGGATGACTGCCAGAATAGGGTTCCTACATTCTCACAGAGAAATATGAATACAGGAGTGTAGCCTTGCTTCTTAATTCTGAGATGGAAACTTCCATTTTACATTAAGAACTCAATAAATGGAGGCTGTTAAGCAAATAATAAGGATGGGGGAGGCACCCAGGGCACCCCTAATACAGTGAATGAAGTTAAAGAGCTGTCAACTGTTTTGAGGATTGGGAGTATGTGCTGGGGCTGGGTGTGTGTGTCTAGCCTATAGTCCTATATCCTTAGGGAATGTGTGTTGAGAGAATGGGAGCCAGTGTCCCCGGAGATGGGATGGGAAGGGATAAGAAGGGAGCCTGAGATTAGCATGAACAGAGCGTGGTCATGTTTAGGAGTCCTGAGAGCCGATGAAAGCTGAAGATCAGGGACAGAGTCAAGGAGTCAAAAAAAGAGGGTGTGGCGTCTAGACTCGGGGGATCTTGGTGGGGAAATGCAACATGCCCGGGAATACCTGTGTGGACGCCCCACTTGCAGAAAAGGCTACTTTCCGAGAAACCGGTGGCCCCCATGATCTGCCCGATTACGTGCACCTCAGCCATGGCCCTGAGAGGAGAAAAATATTATCATTGCCTTGTGAGAAAAGTGTACAATTATCTCCACCTAACAGATGGGAAAACTGAGGCCCACCAAGTAAGAAGCAGTACTTGGGATTCCAAGCTAGTTTTCTCAAACCACGAGGCTGCGGTCGTAATCATGATACTAACTGCCTCTCCAAGACAGCCCCAGAAAAATGAGAGGCGAGAAACGGACCAGCTGAGGAGCTGGCGTCTAACTCAGCCGGCCTCCAAAATAACCTCTTCCTCCCGCTCATGGCAGCGGAAAGTCCCGCCCCAGGGCCCATAGCCCCGCCCACAAGCACAAAGCCCCGCCTCCTCACTTCGGATCCCTCCCGTCAGATCCATGAGGCGCATGCGTTCTAAGTGCAGGGCACTTTAGCCCCGCCTCTGAGCTAACGCATGCGTTATTCCTACCTCAGAGCGCCTAACGGTTAGCAGAGGTGAAAGCGTCGGCGACGATTGGAGTTCATGGGCTTGAATGTTTGTCTCTCCGCGGACACTGACCTTCAGGCCTGGCTCGCGCCTCTCCCAAGACCTTCCTGGCAGCGAGAGATCTGAGGGGCTGATCTCTCTGAGGCCGCGCCTGGTTCCCGCCTCCCTGGTTGTTGCTAGGGCGACAGTAGCCTCCGCCCCTGGCCTTGCCCCCGCCCTGCGGGTTGTTAATTGGCCCTAGCGGCCTATGGGGGCGTGGCTAAGATGTGATGGACATTTTCTCCCCTGGTTTCTCCATTTTGTGACAGGCGTCTGTCCAGCCGCGACCCATGGTTCCGCCATTGGGGGCGTGGCCCTGCTGTTGCCATCTTGAATGTGGCTGAGGAAGTTTGATCATCAACTGCTTCTCCCAGACACCTTTTTTTTTTTAAACAAAGTAAGCAAGTTCATCGATGCCCTGTGCCCCCTAAAACTCTCTTCACAACCAGAACCACAAATCAGAGACTTGAGCCAAAGCCAAGGGGGAATCTCCGTCAGATGGCTGTGTGCATCCCCCTGCCTCATAACTAGAAAAAAAACCCCAAAACTCATTCAGAGAAGTTGGGGAGGGGGTTCCTTTTTAGAGTTCCCCCGAGCTTCTCAAGGACTGATAAATCCAACTTCCTTGTCAGAAATACTGTGCAGTTCTTCACTGTTAGTGGCGATTCTGAGCAAGGAGTTGGGTATGGGGGGAGGGGTATGAGAAATGAGGAACTGAGGCCCCTTTATCTGCAGAAAATCCTGTTCTTAAAGGCTGGACTCTGTCAGTAACTTGTGACCTTGCATGACTAGGTCTCAATTATCGCATCCATGCAATGGGCACAAGGAGAGTAACTGAGTCACAAGCACTCATTCTGATTTCCAGAGCAGTGACTTTCCCACCCTTTAAGTCCAACTGAACCTTAGTTCGTGTCTTATTCCTCCAGCCCAAACCAAGAGTCCAAAAGGAACTTTTCCCCCTATCTTTTAGCAAAAACGGGGACTGCAAAAGTTAGAGTCACCAGCTCAAAGTTATAGCTAGGGGGCAACATTTCAATGGGATGATATTTACATAAATAAAATAATTCAATAGGTTAATATTTCACTAATAGGTGTATTTGAAAGTTACCATTTATGGAGTGATTTCTCTGTGCCAGCCCCGTAAACTGATTGTTTTGTATGCATGATCTCCTTTAATCCTCACAGCTATCCCACAGGGTAGATAATTATCAGCTTTATTTAAGATGAAGAAATTAGGGCAAAATCATTTGCCTTAAACCAAAATGATTACAGTTCTGTCTCACTCTGTCCTCAAACTCTATGTTCCTAAACTTCCGCTTTCCTGCCTCTCTTGGATACACATCTCCCAGTATCAAATATGGAGGTTATGCACGTCTTCCTCGACTCCATCACGTCCCACATACAACCAGTCATCAAAGTTCCATACAAGTCTACTTCTTAAATATTTTTTCTTCAGTTGGTTTCCTCCCCACTGGTTGATATTACTGATTAAGAAAAATGCTTCCCAGGGGGCAGGGTATAGCTCAGTGGTAGAGCACATGCTTAGCAAGCGTGAGGTCCTGGTTCCAGTCCCGAGTACCTCCATTAAAAATAAATAAATAAAGCTAATTACCCCCTTCCCCCCAAAAATGCCTCCCAGTTCAACTACCTGGGTTTAAGCCTTGGCTCTGCCCCTTCTGTGTGAACTTTAGCCTCTCTGGGCCTCAGTTTCCTCATCTGTAATGTGAGTGATGGTATCTACCTTGTTAGATTACTGTCAGGATTTAATGAATGTATGAAGCTAATTTAAAATATGTCCACAGATTCTTTAACACTCCTTCTTTCACTTGGTAGAGCCTAATTTCTCTCCTCTTGAGTATAGGCTGCACTTTGTAACTTGCTTCTAACCAGTAGAATATGGTAGAAGTGTTGGTGTGTGACTTCTGAGACTAGGCCATAAAAGGCATTGAGGCTTCCTCCTCTCCCTCTCCCTCTCTTTTTTTTTTCCCTTGGAGGGGGCACATAATTAGGTTTATTTATTTGTATGTTTGTTTGTTTGTTTATTAATGGAGGTACTGGGGACTAAACCCAGGACCTCGTGCATGCTAAGCACGTGCTCTACCACTGAGCTATACCTTCCTCCCTCAATGTCTCTCTTGAATGGCTCAGCTTGAGAGAGACCAGCCACCAGGTTGTGACAGCAGTGAAGCAGCCAGTGGAGAGACCCCAGTGGGGAAGAACCGAGGCCCCGTGCCAACAACAAGCACCATGTGAGTGACCCATCTTGGAAGGAGATCTTTCAGCCACATCAAATCTTCAGGTGACTGTTGCACCTGGCCAACATGCTGACTGTAACTTCATGACACCCTAAGCCAGAACCAGCCAGCTAAGTCATCAACAGATTGCTGACCAACAAAAACTATGTCTGATGATAAATGTTTATTGTTTTAAGCCAGTAAGTTTGGGGAGATATTTGTTACACAGCAGTAATAACTAATACAAATGCCTAATGCATTTAGGATAGTGCCTGGCACAAAGGAAGCATTATGAATGTTTGCTATTATTGATGGTTTTTATTGTTGACGTTGTTGTTGTAACTGAAATGACATACACACGTGTTTTACAATAAGCACGCTGAGTACTTATTGATGGACTTTTTACTTTTAAGGTTTTCAAAATTGTGATAAAATACACATAACATAAAATTTACCATTTTAACTGTCTTTAAGTGTACAATTCAGTGGCATTAAGTACATGCACACAGTTGTGCAACCAGTCTCTAGAACTATTCTCATCTTGCAGAACTGAAATTCTGTACCTATTAAACAAAAACTCCCCATCCCTCCCTTCCTCCAGCCCTCTGGTAACCACCTATCTACCTTCTGTTGCTATGAATTTGACAACTCTAGGTGCCCATATAAGTAGAATCATTCATTGTTTGTCCTTTTATGACTGGTCTATTTCACTTATCATAATGTCCTTTAGGGTCATCCATGCTGTAGTGCATGTCAGAATTTCCTTCCTTTTTTAAAAAAAAATTATATAGCAGTCTTTTATTTATTTATAATTATATTCTTTATTTATAATTATATACTTAAATTTGAAGTATAATTGACCTACAACACCATGTTAGTTCCAGGTATACAACATAATGATTCAGTATTTCTATACATTACAAAATGATCAGCACAGAATTTTCTTCCTTTTTAAGGCTGAATAATATTCAGCCCATTTTCTTTATCCATTCATCTGTTAATGTACAGTTGGGTTACTTCCACCTTTTGGCTATTGTTAATAATGCTCTTGTGAACATGTGTGTACAAATATCTCTTCAAAACCCTGCTTTCAGTTCTTTAGGGTATATACCCAGAAGTAGAATTGCTGGGTCATATGGTAATTCTATTTTTAAGTTTTTGAGGAAGTGCCATACTGATTAATAGTGACTATTCACATTGTTTTATATCTTGCATTTTTCACCCAGTGATACATCTTGGAAATTTATCCACATCAGTATGTAAAGATCTAACTCACTCTTTTTCAAAAATAAGTGTTTTGAAGTATAATATATGTACAGTAAAGTGCACAAATCATAAATGAACAGCTGGATTAAATTTCATGAACTGAATGAACCTGGTAACCAGAACTCAGCCCATGTAAAGAACATGACCAGCCCCCTAGGATGCCCATCATGCCTTTTCCAAGATGCCCCCAAGGGAAACCACTAACTGGATTTCTAACAATATGGGTTAATTTTGCCTGTTTTTTACTTTATGGAAATAAAGTCGCACAGTATGTATTGTTTCGTGTCTGCTGTCTTTGGCTGTGTTTTGCTTGTGAACTTCATCCACACTATTGCATATGGCTGTAGATCTTTCATTCTCATTGCTGTATAGTTTCCTCTATGTGAAGATGCCACACTTTATTTATCCATCTGTTGACATATATTTGGTGGACATATGTTCAGATCTGAGTGGCGTGAAATTGCTGGGTCATAGGATATGTTCAGCTACAGTAGTAACTGCCCAACAAGTTTTCCTAGTGGTTGGACCAATTTGGATGCCCACCAGCAGTGTATGAGAGCCCTACCCACCCCATCCTCACCAACATTTCCTGGTGGTATGTTCCTTCATTTAGCTGTTCTGGTGGGTGTGTACTGGTATCGCATTGTGATTTTAATTTGCATTTCCCTGATGACTAGTTGAGTAACTTTTTAAATGTTCATTGCTCCCTTGGATTTCCTCTTTTTGTGAAATTTTTGTTCAATTCTTTTGCTTGATTTTATGTGTGTGTATATATATACAGATATATACATATATATTATACCCATAACTCATTATTTCTAACAGTAAAATTCTCCTAAGTACAAGAGGATTCTCCTATATAACCAAAATACCAATTTAACATTTCCCCAAGTATCAATTTAACATTGATGCAAAACTATCATCTAATTTATATTGTATATTCAGATTTCGCCCACTGTCCCAATAACACACCTTATCACCATCTGCTCTCCCTCCGGGATCACACTTTGTGTTTTGTTGTCATGTTTCCTTAGTCACCTTTGATCTAGAACAGGCTTCCAGCTTTTAAATCTTTGTTATTGTTTTGGTTTTCATGACACTGACATTCTTGAAGAGTATAGACCAGCTACTTTATACTGTGTCCCTCAATTTGGCTTTGTCCCATGTTTTCTCATGATTAGATTCAGATGATGCATTTTTGGCAGAAAAATCACAGAAATGATGTTGTGTCCTCAGTGTATATCAGGAGGGACACAATGTTGATTTGTCCTAATACTGATGTTAATTTCTATCTCCTGGTTACAGTGATATTGTCCGTTATTACTATTTTTTTCCCTTTATAATAAATATATGATCTGTGGGAGCATACTTTGAGACTAAATAAATATTCTGTTCCTCATCAAACTTTCAGTCAGTGTTTAGGCTTCTGTTGATGATCCTGGCTGGAATCTCATGTTTAATATTCCACGACCATCACAAACTCCAAGAGGCCAGGGTCTCTTGTGGTATCTTGGGGAGACTGACTATACAAGGCTGATGGTAGCCAGAGAGATCTACTGGACATGAATAAATCTCTAGGGTGGACAAGGGAGTCAGAGGGACCTATATTGCTCAGAGATTTGGTAAAAAAAAAACAGGCTGGTGGGAATTCATGCCCCCACCCCACAAATATGTATTGAAGCCCTGCTTTGTGCCAGGCACTGTTCTAGGCCCTGAGGCACAGCAGTGAACAAAAGAGATCAAATCCCAGCCTGGCTGGAACTGACACTGATGTGGGAGGATTCAAACTACAAACAACAGAAATATAAGCAATAAAAGAGAGGTTAAGGAGACAGAGAGTAACAGGGTCTCTCTCCCCATAAAACAGTTCTCTCATATTCCCTCCGTGGATCTCCCCGCCTGTTGTCTGCCAGAAACTCTGGCTGAGCCAAGTGCACTTCCAGACACCATCTGCTCTCCCCGGGAGTGGGGCCTGTGCCAGCTCCAGCGTCTGGACTCTTGGCACGGAGCCCCAGAGCCCTGGAGCAAGGGAACTCTGGCCGGCTCCACATCAGGAAGGGAATCCTTCAGTTTGGCTGTCTGGGACTGGTGAGATGGAAGGCTTCCGAGAAAGGGAAGCCAATGCAAGCTGGGTGGGCTCCCTGAAGGAGGTGGAGGCCGGCAGGGTGAGAAGTCCTCTAATCAGACTGATGAAGATGGAAATAAATAATTATGTTCCTAAATACCAGACATGTTCAGAGTGCCTAGTTTGGGGCAGAAGTTGGACATTTGTTATGGCACCTAATCTAAGTGCTTTATATATATTATCACATGTAAGAGGCAGGGAATATTTACTACACTTTACAGATGAAGAAACTGGGGGCTCAGAAAGGTGATGCAATTATCCAGAGGTCATATAGCAGGTGCCTTGAAGAGCCTGGAAAGGAAAGGTCTGTGTGGGTCCAAACACTGCCTCATAACCACCACCTGTACCACTTGATATGCAGCACGCCACTCCTGGCCCACTCCCACCTCCCCACCCTTTCCCTGAAAGCCTCCACCTCACCTGCTGCCTCTGCTTCTCCCCTCTCCTTGGGCCAGCAAGAAATACAGCCCTGGGTTGCAAACTGCTGGTGGATCCTAGTACCAGTTGTTTACCTTGGCCAAGTGAGCACACATCTCTGAGCCTCAGTCTCCTTATCTGCAGAATAGGGATAGGAATAGAGCTACTTAGAGGAATCCATGAGATGATAATGCAGGCCATCTAACCCAGGGGCCGGATGTAGTCTGCACTCAGTGACCCCGCGGCGTGCTCGTAGGCAAATCCTAACCTCTCTGCGCCTGTTTCCCCCTGGACACAACAGGACAATCAACGATCGTTCTTAGGAATAAACGTGTACGTGTATGTGTAAAGCACTAAGAACCTTGCCCACAGTTAGCTGTGGTTGCCGTTATTATTGCTGGGCAGCGGGGAGGACAGTGGGGTGGAGGCGGGGCCAAGCCAGGAAGGCCCTGGAGAATTGGGGCGCCCCCTCCACCGTCCTACAGCTTTTGGGTCTGGGTTCGGGAGGGTCTG